TTAAACCAGGTTATCAATAATAAAATGAGTATTTTGACCTCTATCTTACTCTTTTGTTTTATTTCCTAACATTCCAAACTGGGAAGGAATAAGAGGTTTTGTACTTACTGAAGGCCACTAAAAGATCTAACATTCAATGCATATTCTCAACACTGAGAAATAAAAAGAAGTACATAATTTTGGAACTAAAATGTACATGTGGAAATTGGTTTGGTGCTGCCGGGAAGTGGTTTGTGCCTTAGTCTTTAATGTGTGGTGGGATCTTTGACCTTGAGATTTTGAAAATATTTAATTAGGTAAGGCAAGTTTGTGCATAAACTGCTGAAGCCTAGGAAAGTTTAATACATGCTGTCTTAGTTTCCCATGGCTGCCATAACAAATTTCACAAACATGGTGGCCTAAAACAATGGAACTTTGCTCTCTTACCATCTGGAGGCCAGCAGGGCAAGCCACACTTTCTACAGATCCTCGAGATCATTCCTTGCCTCTTGTAGCTTCTGGTGGTTGCAGTGTCCTTGCCTTGTGGCCACATCCAGTCTCTGTCTCTGTCTTCATGTCACCTTCTCTTCTGTGTGTCTCCAATCTGTGTCAAATTTCCCTGGGTCCTTCTTTTATAAGGGTACCTGTCAATTGTATTAGTGCCCAGATAATCTAGGATTGAAAATTTCTCATCTCAAGATCCTTAACTATACCCACAAAGACTTTTTTCCAATGAATGACAGGTTCAAGGTTACAGACATGGACATATCCTTGGGGTGGGGGAACCACCATTCACCCCACACCACTAGCCATGTAGAAACTTTGATTTGGCTGATGATTGCACTTACAGCACAGGACAGAGGATGTTTCTGCAAGGTAGACACTTAAGACAAAGAGTCTTGCTTCAAGGAAAGGGGCTTTAGGGAGTTGCGTGTGGCTGAGAGGATGACTGAAGCAGAATATAGAAGGACCAGGACCTTTCCCTGGCGCTGGACTCTTGAGTGCTCAAGAGTCTAGTGGGCAGAAAATCTCAGGCAGCTGCCCACCTCCACCTGTGGCTTACATTCAGGCACAGCTTTTCTTAAGCAGGCTTGACTGAGAACAAGACTCAATTACAGGGAAAGTTGTTTTTATAGGAATGTGTCGCCATAGACACGTGACTTGCTTGAGTGATCTTTAACCAAGTGGACCCAAGCTGACCTGGATCAGTTAGTTCCACTGAGAAAACGTGTTCTCTAAAAGGCAGCTTTCCTTTGGTCTACGGTGACACATGTCCATAGCAAGAGCAGTGAAATTTGCCACTGTGCCTTGGGACTGTAAACTCAACACACATCCAAGGCGCAGATGAAATGTCACTGGATAGAACCCACAATCAGTTTAGTACCACAGTGTGAGCAAGAGTGTTCAATAGGGAAGTGTAAATGAAGACCAAATGACAAATGCATAGTGTCAGATTAATCTCGTGCTAAAAGAACCTTCCTTAGTTCTAAGTTCACAGGTCAAAATTTTCAGATAAGCGGCATAGAATAATGGACCTCCTAGTGAGGCTAAAACCTTTATCTTTCTCTCAAATGCCATTGAGTTTCTGCTGTGTTCTTTGGCCACACTCTGTACTGGACTCTGGGAACAACATTTCACCTAGTTTAACTGCTCTAGGAGCAGGGAGTCAGCTCACTTTCTAAATTTCTTTATTCTGGGGCTAGTACTGTAAA